TGGTGCTGAAGTTAAATGGGGTTGGTGTTGAGTGTGTCTCCTCTTAGCATCGGGAATCTGGAAAACCCTTCTAAGTAGGGACACATGTCCCTGCTGCTATCAGTCACTGTCCAGTGGGCCAGAAAGCGTGGAGTGACTGTTAGAAAGCTGTTTGTTGGAAATTGTATTGTAAATCAAATAAACTTAGTAGCTTTGTGTGTCTCTGGACAGGGTAATGAATTTGCAGATCATCTGCGCAGGAAGATGCTAATTCATGTGAATTAGGAGGGATTCTAATTCATTCTCAAGACATCTGGCAAGATGGAAATCCCTTGGGTAGATAATTTGCTACCACAGGCAACAGAATAGAATCTCTTTTTTTTTTTTTTTTTTTTTTTTTTTATCCCCTCCCCTTCCTGAGACAAATCCAAGAGTGCTAGCAGTTGCTTTTTAGATGTGGTTGGTTGATGAAGTGAGCATACCTTTCCTTTGTTTGACATGCTTCCCACGGCCTTGAGAAAGGAGAGTCAAGTTGTCCTATGGCCATTTAGAGTGATCAAATTGAAGAAGGCTCTTTGCTATGTGAATGGGAACTGCAATGTTGTGGTGTGGTTTTTTTATTTTATTTTGATGAACTATTAAAAATTAATAAACTCATACTGTGTCCATTCCATTTATTCTGGACTACTTATTAAAACAGATCAATCTTACTGTTCAGTCGAGGCAAATGTAGTGGTACTGATGGCTTGCTTTTGAGGCTGTATGGATTCTTCCACAGTTGTCTCGGTCAAACAGGTGATGAATTTTTTGAAGGACCATTTCAGGTATTCAGTCAGAAAAAATCAGCCCCTAGTTGAAAGCTTAATTCTTCAGGTACCAAGGGAAATCTGTGCTATGTTCCTGCTCTCTGCCAGTGACTGAGGAAAGCGGCATTTCACCGTGGCTCTTCTTTGTCTGGAGGCAGAGCAGTTCTCTGGTCAGCCCAGCCCTCCATTCAATATATATATTCAAGCAATAACAAAATGTTATCCTCTGTTTTCTGTAAACACAGTCTCAGCTATTACGTCTGTTGGTACACGAAGGTACCCACTGTGTTTCCGTTGCGTCATTCTCGAAAGGAATACGCTGGTGCATAGAGTGCTCTCTTCCCTGCTCGAGTGGAACAGCGTTTATATGTAAACTGGTGGTTTGTTTTCCCTGGCAGAAAGACAAAGCATAAAGTAATAAATGCAACTTAAGTCTCTTGTCTGTCAGCAGCTCATGAAGCTGAAGGAACCTCCTGGCTGCAGTAACCACCCCAGCTCAGCCGGGCTCTGCTGCGAGGAGGCAGGGGCCAAGCGGACCCTGCTGTGGGCTCTCTGCAATTCCAGTAGAGGCTGTTGAGGTACTGCTGAGTGCCAGCAGCTTCCTGGGCCTCCCCATGCAATTCTTTCTCCAAGTTAGTTTAGAAAAATCTTTTCTTTCTGAACATAATTTTGCTCTGAATGTATGAGAATGCAGTGGAGCCTTCCTTTTGAAACCTGTCTCAGGCTGGGAATACCAGGGTGGTACAATACATGTTGAATCCTTGTAACAGGCTTGGAAAACCATTAAGCTGGTGGTGTATTCAGCTCTTTCTTAGAGTTATGAAGGGATGAGGAGAGTTTCATGACACAGTCAGTACTGCTGTTCTGCTGTGGCATGTGCAATTGCTTTTAATAGCATACCTCTGATGCTGCTGGACTTCTGTAGGGATCATGTGAAACACAACAGGGACTGAGTTAAAGCCAGGGGTGAGGTTGCTGCGTGGCTTCTGCTTACTCCAGCCTGGAGCAACTTTTGAGTTCAGACAGTGGGAAAGACAAGGGTTCCTCTCCCTTGGGTGGGAGGTGAGGATGTGCAGGGGCTGTGCATGTAGAATGTTCTGATTTCCAGGGGAAGGAAAGGTACCTTTGTGCCAGGGTGGGATGCCCAGGAACAGAGCAGTCCTTGTTAGATGCATCAGTCTTGTGCCACTTGCCAGCCTCTCATAGGTTTTACAAATAGCTTTGAAGACGTGAGTAGACAGTGTTGAGTTTCTGGCTCTGCGATGTGCTCACATGAGCTATAGCTGATGGTGCAAGGGTTCAGACAGTAAAATTATCACTAAAGGCTCAGTTACAGAAAATGTAACAGACCTGAAGGGCCAGAGCAGTGCCTAGCCAGCACTTCCCTCCCAGAAGGGACTCCCCCCTTCTGCGTGGGTGCTGCAGGGCGCACGGGCTGTCAGTTTGGTGTGTTGTCTTAGTCCTGGGTAGTATGAGGGTTTTACTGTGGTCTCTCCTTTCTGTTGCTTGAGCAACCTTTGCACCTTAGTGCTGCGTATCACTGTGCTCTGAAGTCTGAGCACCTGGAAGAGGTGAGAAAAGCACGGAGTGAAATGGAAATATGTATCGATTCTGCTCTTCAGCTGAGGACAGTTACTGCAGAAGTTAGAGTGCTCTTGAAAACACATTAACACTGCATTTGTGTTTCACAGGGAAGAGGAAGCTATTTGCCCATTTGCTGATCATGAAAATGCATTTTGAATGCTTTCAGCATCGCATTTCTTTTTAAGAGCACTAATTAAACTGCATCTTTTTGTTCTTTAATTTCTCCCACAGTCCTTCCGTGGCACTTTATTGGCCTCTGTGCAAGGATGTAGATTTTGTTGTGTGGCGAGTGACCAGCTCATAAGTCGTGTGCTGGATTTAGTTAGGATGTAATCTTTTGGCCATCTGCTCAGGCACTCCCTGTGTCTGCATCCCTCTGATTTGCAAGCAAATGTTAAAGGTGATCTCGAATCTGCAGATGTTCAGAATGCCCAGGTTCCCTGTACCTGAATACGAGCATGTTCCCCCTTAGGAGGTGTGAGCGATATGTTGTCTGAACCTCGCAGTAATTTGGCACGCTGGATTTTAATTCTCTGGCTGGTGTATGGGTACCTATTCACGAAAAAAAAAAATTAGCCTTCAAACTGATTGAAAAATAATGGATAGCAAGAATTTCTCCATAGAACTGTGTTTAATAATACAAAGTGCTGCTGTTTCTCCACCCTCCCACAATGATTCTGGACCTTTTTTGCAATCTCTGGCTTGTATTTTCCTTTCCTAGTCTTTAGGAGTCCGACTCTCCAGCCTTTTGTAGCTGACAGCTGTAGAGCATCTGGAATCCTGTTGTGGCTGCTTTTTTTTTTTTAAGTTGCAGGCAAGACTTCAACTTAATTTTTTTTCTTGTCTCTTTATTTAGAGTAACACCAAAATGGTGAGAGATTCCCAGAGGAAAAAAATCTCTGGATGAATTGAATGCTTATATCAATTTTCATTGCTTTTGTATCTGTCTGTCTAATTTGCACCTAGTTATTTCAGTGCAACTCGTCTGCTTTCTAATAGTGGCTTGAGCTGAGGTGCTTTGCTGTTTCTCTGATATGCTCCCGTCTCCCCACCCCCTTAGTGATTAAATGAATATTCACTCGCACAGTGAGAGCAGATGCATCTCTGTGCGTCTGCATCGTGCAGTGCTCGCACATGGCAGTGCAAAGCGCTGGGGCTCGCTTTCCTTTCTAATTTTCTGTTGTTTTCATTCCCTCCCCCGTGTCCTGGTGTGCAGTGTGCGGTGGTGTAGGAGGCTTACTGCTCAGCATAGCTCAGCGTTCGCCTCTGAACGTCTGGGCTTTCTGTGCTGCCCAGTTTGCTGAGAGAAGCCATTTGAAACTGAATGGAATTTAACATTTGGGTGCAAACTGAAACATAAGAGGTTTCAGTTGAATATGAGGAAAAACTTCTTTACTTTGAGGGTGACAGAGCACTGGAACAGCTGCCCAGGGAGGTTGTGGAGTCTCCTTCTCTGGAGATATTCAAAGCCCGCCTGGATGAAGTCCTGTGTAGAATGCTCTAGGAGAGCCTGCTCTAGCAGGGGGGTTGGACTAGATGATCTCCTGAGGTCCCTTCCAACCCTTGTGATTCTGTGATTTCCAAGTAGCTTAAAAATGCAGCTTCCCCAGAGACCACGTGCCTGTGGGATAAATGGGAGTGAGTCTGGAAATCTCTGATCGAGACCTTTGCTTTACTTTGTCTTCAGGTTTTTACTTCATGGCAGTGCAGAAGTTGTAGCTGCAAAACTGTGCTGCTGAGTGCTCTAGAGAATGGTTTCCTTTTGTGGTACAGGTTTTGTTTTCTGCAATCTGTGGTACAGATTTTTGATTTCAGCCTGCTGTCCTCCTGCCCGTGGAGTAGCAGTGAGTTTTCTGCCTTTGTTGCAACACTGTGAGTAATTAACTGTTAATGCATCAGGATTCCTCACAGCTCCCTTACTCCTTTGTGTCCTTTCTCCTGCACTTGGCATAGAGGAGCATAGAGGAGACAGAAGGGGCAGACATGGATACAAAGTTTCCCCAGGGAAATCAATATTTCTGTGCCTTCCCAAAGCTGTGGTCCTTTGGCAGTGGCATGGTGCATGCTGTTCTGCCCATTGCACCTGACCCCTGAATTCCCAGGGCTGACCAACAGGCTGGGTCTTGGCAGGGTCTAATGTCCCCTTCCAGCTCCTGATGCCTGGACACTCACCCTGTTGCATGAGGAGCTCTGTGGTCTCGTGGCCAGTCCTGCTCTGGAGGTGGTGTGGGAGCTGCACCTTTGCAATGATTTTTACATACCCCTAGGAAGTGCTTTCCAGTGGGCTAACAAAATGAAAACGTGTCCAAGTCACCTTTCATGGGAACTTTTTGGACCTGCTGTGTAAACTTGAGGATAGAGCAGAAGAGACGAGACTCCCAGGTTTGTGATCCAGTTCTTACTTACAAGCCTTGCTTCTGCAACTAAAGGTGTAATTTATTACATGCAGGTTGTCTAGGTGCATGGGGTTCATTATTGGTAGACACTAAAGATAGAAGACACCATTTTTGTTAGTGGGTCCCTGGCAGGCTTGTGATCCTCATTTAGCCTTGCAGCTGTCCCAGGTTATGCCTGTGGCTGCAAGCCCTGGGACAGGCACTCTTTTCAGCAGGGTTAGCTGCCTTTCATCGGATGAACCTCTTAATATTTAGAGGTTGAGACCACAGTGTACAGACAGCATCTGCCTCTTAGTTTGCATATCGCTTGCTGCTGAGACAGTGTCTCGCTTCTGTGTCTAGGAGCCGTTGGCCTACTCTGGCTGCTTTTTTGATAAATAATACCAAATTTCCACACTGGGGTTGCTTCTGCTTCCCTGCTAGCGGCAGTGGTGCTTGTTACGGACAGAGAGACAGACACCAACTGAAGCTTACTGTGCATCCCCTGCCCTCTTTCCCCTTTTTTCCTTCCCTCAAGCACATGCACTTGTTTCTTTGTCTCCTGCATCTTGCAAAGGAGATGGAGAGAAGGGAGGATCAGAGAGAAGCTGGCGTCTGCCCGCTCCAGGGCAGTATTTCATGAAATGCCTGCTTTTGTGTGGTATCCAAAGGCACCTAGAGAGTGGGTAGATTGCTCTGCCTATTTCTCGGTGGTTAAACAGACTGATTGATTTGGAGATTAAAGAGGAATCTGCATCTTCAAAAAAAACCCACCATTGTATGTTTTATTTGCACCATTAGGTTTAGCATCAGGAATGCTTCAGGCCCTGAACCTGGGAAAAAATGAACCTGTTTGTTTTGACCTAAAGGCTTGTGGGCCTTGGCAGTCTAGGGAAAAGCTACAGCTCTTCTAACATTTGTTTGCAATCCTCTGGCTCATAGTATTCCTGGTACAGCACTTCCTTCATGCCAACACCTACCTGGACTGTAAATGCTTGCAAAGGAGAATTACTCAAATAGCAAGGATGTTCTCCAGCACCACACTTCATTGCAGCTCTGTGCATTGTAACTGTATAAGGGCCATTATTTTATTTTATTTTTACTTTTTAGTGTTCCTTTCTAGAACATTTATCTTGGAAGTTAGACTCTGCAAGTCTTGGGTGCTCTGTTTTCTGGAGGAAACTACACCAGTTTTTAAATATTTTTGCTCTCAGGTGTACCTTGCTTTCTAGCTTGTTAAATATGTTTTCTTCTTAGTGTTAGTTTTCCACTGGGAAAACTAGCTGGAGCCTAGAATTATCTTCTCTTAGTGCTTACACTTAGCAATACCAGTGAGGATATGAGCTTCCAGAAGAGAAATGTAAACAAAATCTCCCCTAGGTAGACACGGGCCCTCTCCATCCGGTGAGATAAGAGCCAGCGCTGTTTTATGTTCTGACCATTGTTTTTGATAAATACTGTCCTGGAATTAAATTAACAGAGGAGAGCTCGGTGACATTTGAGTTTAGACTGCTGCTTGTTTGGCATAGCAGGTTTGTTTGATTTGGAGATGTCGTACTATAGAGCTACTATTCAGGCTTGGTTATTTTCAAGCTGTGGTTGAAAGTCTGCACTGTTGAGGAGAGATTGTTTTTAAATAAAGGCTTATTTCTTCTAGAGTGTCTGTAACTTTGTAGGTGAGGTGGTACGCAGTGACATCTTGCTAAGCAGCAATAGCTTCTGGTTGCAAAGGACTGGTTTTGAAATTGATTTGCATTCGCCATATCACATTGCTTTCTAAACATTAATCCTATGATTATTTTTTAAGTATATCTATTTAGAGAGGGGGATCACTAACAGCCTCTTTTTTTTTTTCTTTTTTTCTTTTTACAGTAAAAAAAGCTAAACTCCAAGGACCACCAGGTAAGCCATGCTCTACTACTTGTTTGCAGCAATGGTGACAACCTGCTCTCTCACTCCTGGTCGTGCTTCTCCCTCCAGGTTTCATCTACCTCCTCTCTGCTCCTCCATATTCTCCTTGGGAATGACAAAAGCTACCCCGAGAGTCCAGGCAGCCTGAGTTAGTATAAAGCTTGAGGATGAGACCTGGTGCCACAGCACTGAGAAACCTCTACCTGCTCACCTCACCCAAACTGGTGATGGACGAGGAAAGATATTCCTTTATTGTCACCAATTCCCACTCCACCCTGCCCTTTCCTCTCATCTGTCCTCTGTGCCTGTTAAAAACAGGATCTGAAAATGTCCACTGAGCAGAACTGTGCCTGTCTGGTTTCATTGCCTCCTTGATCTTGGTCGGGGTTGCTGGATGGTACGGCAGAAGTGATTCATTCTCTTATGTGGCAGTCCATAATGGCTGTGCTTGGGATTGAAATCCCATCCACCAGGTTTTATTTCTGCATAATAAAATAAAAACAAAGAGCTAGTGATACCGAGAATTTACAGTCTAGGCAACTATTTCACTGTGGTTCAGTAGCTAGCAACAAATCCCTTAGCAGGAAAATATGTTTATTGAATGGAATTTGATGTACAGTTTACAAAAGAATAAATGGTTTGCTTCTGGAATAACATCTTTCCAGGTGTTTGGATCCAAAGCAATTGCACAGCTGTATTCATGCCTGACTTGTTCAGCTTTATTCTCGTGATATAGCCATTCTGAGGTTATAGCTGAAAGCTTCCTAGATCTCCTTGTCCATATTCCATATCAGGTCAAGATCTGTGTGTGCACCAACCTTGAATTTCCAGGGAAAGAAAGCTGAGTGCCCGGACTGGAAGGGAGACTATCTGTATTTTATCCTTTCTCTAATCAAGAAGCCTGCTTATGGCTGCAAAATATTTATCCTGTAGTCTAGATTTAACTCAGCTGAAGTGTATGGTTTCACCGACAAGCCCAGTGTCCCAGGAGTGTGCAAGTGTTGTAGCTAGATATGAGGGAATCTGACTTGCAGTGACTCCCACTTCTTCCTAGGCTTCTGCATCACACAGTTTCCCTTTCCTCCCTTTCTGTTAGGATATTGAAGCTAGATGCTGGGACATGCTATAGTAGCCCAAATTTTGGCAGTATTAAAATGGACTGTGATCTAACTTATGCTGGGAATAGATGCAGCAGAACATTGAAGCATTAAAATATGTACCCTGATGTCTTGCTACTTAGCATATGTCTTGTTCCAGGCCTGATGAAACTGATGGATAGGTCTGAGATGGTAACTCCTCTTACAAGGGAGTTTGTTCATTCTCAGATGCTGATATTCAGCCTTTGTATATGTTTGTGCTTGGCTGCTTTTAGTTTTATTAGCAAAGAGATAGCAGAAACTAGGAAAAAAGTTGTTCCAGGTTTTTTCTTCAGATTTAGAATAAATAGCAGAACACCTAAACAAGGCCTGTCTTGTCAAAATGTGAGTGTGATGTGGTTCTTCTAGGTCAGCTCGTTTAAGAAATACAGATCAGTTTTAGCACATTTAGCATAAATCACTGTATTTTACCTCTGCCTCCGGCTGGTCTGTAAAATTCTTTGTGGACTCCTGGGTGGAAAAACAGGTTGGAACTAGGAGAGCAGTTGGGTCAGAAGGGAAGAGATGATACGATCAGCCCAATTGCTTCTTGCTTGTATGTTTTGCAAGTTTGTGTTTTGCTCTGCATGGTCTGCATGATGGGCTCTATTCCTTCAGATTGTCTCTTCTTCATCTCGTCTGCATTTCAGTAAGCAGCACCTTACACACAATGTGTCCGTGTTCTTCAGGATTTTACACTTTTTTTTTGTCCCAAAAACACTCTTTCTTTGTCCCTGACTTACTGCAAGTGCTTAGTTGCCTGGTTTTGTTAGTTTGTGCATGAATGTCTAAAAAACTGTGATTGAAGATTTGATGGCAGGTGAAAAATGTCTTGAACATCTGGCTCCTTAACTCAGTGATATCTTCCCATATGAGCTTTTCTTTTTGAGTCCCCCTGGGATTGCAATGTATGGACTGAAAACCTTGAAACATTGTGCTTATGTGATGAAACTGTGTACTAAAGGAGATAACTTTTTGCTTCTTGTTCTCCAGACAAATTCAATACGTATGTGACCCTGAAAGTGCAAAATGTGAAGAGCACGACAGTAGCTGTGCGAGGTGACCAACCCTGCTGGGAACAGGACTTCATGTTGTAAGTACAACGTTGCACAGCGATGAGGTGCCAGTGGTTGAGTCCTTCCACAGCCCTGACGTTTATATGGAGCTGCTGTTGTGTTGTGTAAATAGGAGTACTTATGTAGGTAAAATGTACAAGCCTGGTGGCAACCTAAGTCATTTGCTTTCCTGTTGTACACGCTGACCTGTGCTGAAGGGGATGTGTGTTGGAAGGTTGTCTCTGCTGGTGCCATGGACTGGCTGGAGTAGCCTGTGTCCTTTAATAGTACAAGGTTGCCTGGATTCCTGTCCTTAGACCTGTGTGCCAGGGTGCAGTGACAAGGCAAGTCTGAGGTTGGGCTGGGAAGTCAGTCTGTGGGTTGGGTCTGGATTGCTGTGGTCCATGGCCAGGCATGGGCCCAGCTGCAGGTAAGCTGGAGACAAGCACACTGTATTGGGTTTGTGTGGCAAGGTTTTGGTAGCAGGGGGGCTACAGGGGTGGCTTCTGTGAGAAGCTGCAGAAGCTTCCCCCATGTCCAATGGTGCCAATGCCAGTGGGCTCCAAGACAGACCCACTGCTGGCCAAGGCCCAGCCCATCAGTGATGGTGGTGGCACCTCTGGGATAACATTTATAAGAAGGGGGAAAGACCTGTGCAACTGCGGCCACAGAGAGGAGTGAGAACGTGTGAGAGGAGCAGCCCTGCAGACCCCCAGGTGGGTGCAGCAGGAGGGGCTCCAGGCACCGGGGCAGAGATTCCCCCACAGCCCCTGGTGCAGCCCATGGTGGGGCAGGCTGGGCCCCTGCAGCCCAGGGAGGTCCATGGAGGAGCAGATCCCCCTCCTCCTGCAGCCTGGGGAGGTCCAAGGGGGAGCAGATCCCCCCCTGAAGCCCAGGGAGGTCCACGGGCGAGGGAGGAGTGAAGGACTGAATGCCTGTAGCTGAGCTTAAATGGAGCTCCTGGGCCATAGGAAGAGGGTGTGGGTGGAGGCCACTGGTGAGGCTGGTCAGGGCGATTCAGGGCTGTTGTTAGTGCACTCAGGGCCTCAATGTGGTGATCCTGGTAGCTCAGTGTGGGCGCTGCTCTTATGTGTTCATGTTTTCTACCATTGGCCTGGTGCCCTCGGAACGTGTTTTCCAGCTCCCCTGCTGCAGCTTGAGGGGCTGCCAGTCCCTGGCATGAGCAGCAGAACCAGTTCCAGCTCTCCCAGGGTTTCTGGTGCACTTGGCACCTCTGATTTGCTCTGGTCCTCATAGTCCTGACATGTAGCCAGGGATTTCCCAGTATCTTTTAGAATGGTGGTTTTCTCGCTCATGGATGAATGACTCATTGACATATTGCATCTGCTTCCATTTCTATAGCTTTGTAAGACAAAGTGAACTAAATTTACTAAATCTTGGAGTCCAAGTGCTTTACTCAGAACTTGGCATGGACGCTGCTGTTGTGGGGGAATGTTGTGCTCGTCTTGTGGAGTCAAAGCTAGTGCTTCTGTTTTTGACTGGCTCTGAGGTGTTTGCATAGTATCCTTTGCAAGAGGGCCACATGCAATTTTGTGACCAGGTTTCCCCATCCAGCAGCAGTTGGTTCTCCTCTGCCAAAAGTGGGGAAGCCTTTGCCTCTGGTTGAGGAGTCCACCTGGGTTAGTAGTGTTGCCATCATAGCTGTGCTCCCATCTCCCCTGTTTTGTGACACTCTGCCTATCCTTTGACATCTGGTGAAACATGCCTGCCCTGAACGCCACCATCTTCTCAGCCCTGTGGTTCCTGGTCAGACAGAGGCTGTGGCTATCACTGATGTAAACCATGCAGGACCTGGGGTAAGGTTGGGGCAGGGAGTTGTACCTGTCTGCCAAATCACATGCCTATACCCAAACTACTAAATCATTCTTTCTGTGATTTGTGTTCAACCTGTGGGCAGGAACTAGCTTTAAACATGGCCAGCTACAGAGCAGGCTGCTCACCAGTGATTGAAGAATGGCACTTCCTTGTGTTGGATGATGCCCGTCATGGTTGCTCCTCCTCCTTCCCCTCAAACAGCTCCTGGAACTGCTCTCCCATATCAGCTGGGAGCTTAGCTAGCGTGCTGTAAGGTCACTGTGCCGCTCCGTAATTAGTTGCTAGGGGATATGGAAGCAGAATATTAGCTGATCTTTCTCGCCATTGTTGTCCCTGCTTTAGCCATGCAACAGCATAGTTGTTCTGATGTTTCTTTATAACAAAAATATTACATGTGGTAGGGAATGTGTTTTGCATGATCCTGTGTACATTAAGTTGTCCCAGGAGAAACAACACTGATACTCCAATACCTCTCTTTACTGGTTTGCTCTTTTTCTTTCTGAAGTTGGAAAGGGCTTTTGAACATAGCAGTTTTTCCCTGAGGGAAGGATGCTTTTACTGTCTCTGTTTGTGTTTACCTTTTTTGTGAGGCATAGGAGAAGAATAGACTGCAACCAAGAAAACGCTTTCTATCTATTTTTTGTTGGTTTTGCTTCCAGACTCCTTGTGAGACAGAACACTTCAGAATCTGGGGCTTTGGGAATGTTTGAGATTTGCTTATTTACCAGACCAGTAAAGCGTTTTAGTGTTGTCTTTGAGGACATGTTCTAATTTTGAAGCAGCTTTAAAAGGACTGTATATTTGCAACAAGCACCTCTTGAGTGAAGGTGCAAACTGATATTTAGAGCATGATGATTAAATTGGTGTTGAAATTGTAAGAAATGTCTTTCATTTAAATTCTGTGTGTATGTGGAAAGGGAGGGACGCCAAATTCCAATCTCAGCTCTTTTGTTCTTTGAAGCTATTCTGCATCTAACCAGAAGGTGGAGAAGAGGAGACACAAAGGCAATCAAAGCCACTGTACTGAAAATCGTTTTATTTTTTATTCTTATCTGGTGGCTTGTGCTGTGAAGTTCTGTACAGAGGCCAGTTGGGTGTCTTATGATCAATCTCCTGCTCTGTCAATGTATGTTGAAGCAGAGAATGTGGTTTTACAGTGTGCCTGAAAATGCGGTATTTCTTCCTTCCCTTCCCTTTCTGGCCTCACACTAGTCCAGCCAGCATAAAACCAGTCGCTTCTGTTGTTATTGCAAGTTTGTGCACTCACATAAGTACCATTGTCCAAGAGGCAAGCAGTGGGAGGGCAGAGCAGTGATGGTGCTGGTGGCTAGTTGTTATCTTGGCTGTATTGAGTAGCCATATCCAAACAGAGGGAACTGGAGACTCAATTTCAGGATGCTAGCAGTAAATTCATACTAAGCCTGTGTAATAGCTTGATTTTGAACTATGTAGACTGAGTGACCCAGGTACTGGACACTCCTGACCTCAATTCCTGTGTCCTTAAACAAGAACAGAAGCACTTGGGTTTAAAATAGATATTAATGCGCTTTGCTGTAGCTGTAGGGTTTGTCTTGAACCTTGTAGAAACAATATTCTTTTTTAAACTTGTAAGGAGTTTCTGGAGCAAAGCTCAGATAGATGCTGGTGGGATTTGCAGTTGTTCTTTTTTTTTGGCCATGATGGCAGTCTGTAGAAATTAGCAACTAACATGCTTTTAAATTCCCCTGATAAACTTAATGTGGATATATTTGGACAGAAGGACAGCAGACAGCAGCACTGCGTGTCCAAGATGCCCACTTTTGGATATTAGTGGTTGCCTAGGGGGAAGTCCCAAGCTCAGAGAAGTAGGAGGAATAGCCTTTCTTCATGATAAATGCGAGACAGTTGTGTATCAACTCATACACTCAGGATTCTTCTCTACCTCGTTGTTTTTACCAGCATTCAGGTTGTGCATGTATTATGCTGTTAAGTAGGCATGTTATAAACCAACATGGAAGAGGGAGGTAGAAACGCTATGAAGCATTGGGAAGAAGTGAATTTGAGGTGCATCCTTCCCTTAGCGAGAGTGAAGATGTTAATGGAAACCTTCACATAAGCATTTCCAAGAACTTGGCACTTGGTGGTCACGTGGCTGTATTGCTGCTTGCTGCCAGAGACTGGCACGGCTCAAAGCCTTGCAGTGTCAGGCAGAGGAAGAAGCCAGTGCTGGAGCAGAAGCAGTGCAGCGCAGCCCTGAGCAATAGGTAGTGCTGCTGAGGCAGCTATGCTGTGTTTGGGGCTGTTACTTTTGGTGTGCAGCAGCTCCACTTGCAGATAAGCATTGCCATGTTTGGATCTGCTGGAGTACGCTTGTGTTGCTGTGCTGCCAAGGGAAAGGAGGCAACTCCTTTGTTAGAAATGGGGTGCCTGATGACAAAGAACAGCTCATCTCTAGGCTTCAGCCCAAGATACCCTTCCTCCTCCCCTGTACATAGCTGCTGAGACAAGTTCCTGATTGTCAGGCCATGCGTGAGATAGTTCAGGGTTTTAGATTGCGATCTTCGTGTAGGTAGTGGTAAGCTGTGAGAAATCAGTCATTAGATACCAGTGTTCCCTGTGAGTATGAGCCACCTCGACCACATGCTTCCAGAAGCTCTGTGAGGCTTGACACAGCTGTGTGGAAAGAGTTCACCGGTATAATCATGGTGGTAATGCAGAACTTAAAGAGGAATAGACTGTATTCTGCTTTTTCCTCACCTGTGCTGCTTTTTCTTTTCTTGCAGTGAGATCAGTCGGCTGGACCTGGGCCTAATTGTTGAAGTATGGAACAAAGGACTGATCTGGGACACCCTGGTTGGGACCGTGTGGATTGCTCTGAAGGCCATTCACCAATCTGATGAGGTTAAACTGACACAGAAGCTTTATTTTGACAGCTCTAATGTTGGTAGTTAATGTGTTACAAATCTAGCCTGGTGCAGCCCAGGACTGTGCTCCTCAGCAAAACTTCCCTTTGCAAAGCCAAGAAGGCTGGGTTGGAGAAAAGGGCTGTCAGGTATCACACTGGGTTTGGTGTTTTTTTTTTTTTATTTTGGTTTGGTTTTTTTTTTGTTTGGTTTTTTTTTTTTTTTTTAAGGATGCTGCCAACAATGAGACCAAAACTGAGCTTTAAGTAGGTATCTCTGGTCTCATTTCACTCATGTGGACTCAGAAAACAGGGCTTAATCTGTTAAGGAATACATACAGTTGACAAGCGTCTGAAGTCTTAAGGACTGACTCCTTAGGCTGATGCTCAAATTTCTGTAAGTTCCTGGTAAAGTCAGAGGGTGCCCTGATAACAGACAACCTGACCTTTAACGTAGGCCCAGAGCATGTCTACATCCTCTTGATAAAAGTTTCTGGTTGCAGTGTTACAGGGTGTCTAGTGGTGCTAATATGAATTGAAAGAAGTAGGAAACGGGATGTGTCAGTGGCTGTAAATGCCCTAACTACTGAATTTGGCGGTTCTTGCAGCTACGAAGGACTTTTGTTTCTTTACCTCAAATTTCAGGGCAATTGTTTAAAATACTATTGAACTTGAGCAGGGGGAGAGAGCTTATCTTTTCCATAAAAGGAAAAGAGTGGGAAAGCCCAGCAGCATGGCCATAAGGTCTAGCTGGGGCTCAGTTCCTCTGGCTGTCCAGGCACTTCTTGGTGCCTGCCTTTGAGGACTTAACCTTTGCGCTTCCACTGAGAAGACAGTAGTTCTGCTAGGAGGTGTTGGCTGCTTGTCTTGGTAAAGGCTTTTGGGATTTGGAAAAAAAGCTGACGGCATGTGCTGAATGGATGTAATTTGATGTTAAAGTCAGGTACCAGGTCTTGATAAAGTTGGAGTCTTTTATCTTAGTAACTGTGTGGGAGTTGCTGCATAAGGACCTGCCAGATGTGAAGCTTCACCTGTGCCTTGTGATTCATAGGAAGGTCCTGGGGAGTGGTCTACGCTGGAGGCAGAAGTTGTAATGAAACATGATGAAATCTGTGGAACCAAAAACCCGACTCCCCATAAAATTTTGCTGGACACAAGATTTGAATTACCGTTTGGTGAGTGCATTTCAGTAACTTGCTCAGGGTGCTGACAGTGGAGAGAAAGTGTTTGGGAGTAACTTGAGTTTTATAGTCAAGTTGTGCTCATTCACAGTTCAGCCAAAATAGTTCAGTGCAAATTAAATCTCCGGTATTCATTTCTTGTTTGGCTTCTTTCTAACAAGATCAGAATAATTAAGGAAGATTTGATGGTCTCAGGGTGCTGGAATGTTTAGACTAACAGCAGTTTAATAAACTATTAATACTATTTCAGGATTGTGCAGTCAGACATTTTGTTCCTGAGCAAGGAACATTCACTTCTTTATATCTAGACAAATTTGGCTCTAGAAGAGGTCAAGTGTGTTGTTAGAGCTGTTTTGTGGTAGGTGCACTTAAACCCTGTTAGAAGTGTGCAGTTCAGTTAGTGAAACATTAATGCTTGGTGCTCCTGAACATTGTCATTAGCTGAGTATATAAATAACTTGGTGTTATAAGAAGAACTGCCTTTCTGGGAATTATTTGTGGTTGAAAAGTACAGAATATTGAAAAGTAGCTAATTGGAGCAAACCATCTCAAGTGAAGTTGTGTGTGATTTTTAATTTTTTTTTTTTTAAATCTCGTTTTACTTAAATCCAAATTAAAAAACAAACAAACAAACCCCCAAAGGAAGGGCTTAACCAGAATGCATCCAAGCCTTAAATAATTTCTTTTTCCAGCTCTTAGCTATTGGGACCGAGAACAAAGATGATGTTTTTGGGGCTCTTGGTATTTTTTTTAAAGTGCTTCAAAGTTTTTTTGTCATTACAAGGCTCATCTCTCTTTCTTTGCCTTTTGGTGGGTTTGGTTTTTTTTTTTTTTTTTTTCAGCCAAGCCCCTGGCAACGTGAGCAATTTGCATCATTCTCTAAGCACTGGTGGAGCATTTGTGCACCCACTGGCATTCGGCCAGCAACTGTTAGGATTGGCCATCTGTTGTGGAAAAAAGTTAGGTCATCTATTAGTCTTGTACCCCTCTTCCTTGTGCTAGAGAGGATGCTGGCTTTGGCCCTGCAGTGCTAAAATTGATATAAATTGTGTCTTCTGCTGTGGGAGGTAAGCTGGTTTGAGTGCACAGTCAGCTGGATGGTGCAATTTGGGGCGAGCACAGTGTTTTATAGATGTAATAGGCACTGCTCTGTAACTACAGTCCAGTGTGTAAAGGGGAAAAGGTATCTGACATCTCAGCTGTCTTGACAGCTAAGCTGCCTCATGTTGGTCTGGAGCCATCCCTCTTCCTTGTGAAAATGTCATGGTGATTCACGGCTGTCACCTTGCCAGTGGGAAGTTTATTACCGAAATTGCTTGTTATGTAAGAAGAGGAACAACTCACTTGATTTCCTTGTGAAGTGAAAGATTGGGTCTTTGGGGCAAGCGTTGAGGCTTCTGGGAGGGAGAGAACACAGCACACGTAGCAGGGGGGGCAGGGCTTGTAGCCACTACTTTCTCATCTAAGTTCATTCTGACATAGTTGCTTGTAAACTGTCTCTGCTTTAAAAGAAAATGAACTTCTGATCTCGCCCTATGTATTCAGAGGGCATCCAAAAGAGAATTTGCTTTCTTCTGCAATTCATGTTTTAGATTGCATTATATCTTGTGAATTTTTTTTTTCAAGTGTAGGACAGAAGAATAGCTGTAAACCATTATGTGTTAGAGCATCTGGATTTAAAAAATAAAAAATATTTAAGGTAATAGTTTGTTTTCTTCCTACTACTATGCTCAGAATGTAGGATTCTTTTTTTGTTTGTTTTGGTTTTTTTTTAACTACTATTTTAAAACGTATGGTGTTCTATAGAACACAGAATTCCAATAAGTAGGATTTCATGCAGAAGACTGCAAACATTAAGTAAATAATAAGCTTTTTGCAACTCTTCTGTTTTTAACACAGTTGATCATTTAAAGCACATGTATTACTTATTCCTTTGCTTATTATGCCAAGTACTGAAGTAACAGCACCTCCACACTGCTGTATTGAAAAGTTGTCTGCCTGTCCAGTGTTTCATAATGTCCAGGAAAAATGGGTGCATCAGCTCTTTCAAGGATTCTGCTGCTTTTCACCTGCAGCGCTACAGTTTTTCTCAGACCTTCTCCGTTTTCAGTCTGTCCTGCCATGGCAAGGTCAGAAGGTTGAAAAGTGGTAGGCACCAAGAGTATGGGATATTCCTCTAGAAGATAGCATCTGCCCCTATCATCTTCTCCAGTGGTGCTTCCTTTCTCACCATGACCGAACGTCTCCTGCCATCACCTCTAGGATAGAGAAAGACCCTGCAAGAAGTATTAGGCTCCATCTCCCTGCCCTTGCAGTACTGCGAGACTTGGAGGGATGCATGGAGCTCAGCTCACAGCAGTGCCTCTGCATCTCTCCCCATGGATTTGCAGGTCAGTTTCCCTCTAAGCAGAGGGCAGCAGTACGGACTCATAGTGCCCCACATGTTGAGACTGTGTTGTCATACGAGCTGGGAAGTGCTGCTTTAAACCTACACAGAGAACTAAATGGATCGTTGATCTGCTGTGGAGGTTCTTAAGTCAGCAGCTCTGTTGCTGTAGAGGTAATGTTTTAATAACAGCACGTTTCCAGTAACACTTAGGAACATTGTGTATCACGTTTTGTTTCCCAGGTGAAGATCTCCTGGCTATTGTAGATACAAGAGAACCGGAGTGGTATGTGTGCACACGTACAGCTTGTGCTGCTTTCCAAGTCTGGTAAAATACAGCTGGCTGGGATAGCAGCTTTAACAAAATAGTGTGTTCTTCTGTTTGGCTGTGCTTCTGTGCTTTTTCTGTCACTTCTGGCTGCTCCGTTTCATTTAGGTTAGATGATGCACATGGATGCAGTACCCAAGGTTATCCAGTTTGTGTATTTAAAATGTTTCATTGTATTCAGGTGGAACATGAGAAGTTTTTAAGGGATCGTAAGAGAGAATAAACAAATTTGAAAACCAGAAAAGCTGAAGTCTTTGGTGTAAAACATGATTGCATATGCAAAGAAGTTTAGAAACTGGTTTGGTTTTTGCACTATATTTATCCTGGATTAGTTTGCTGCTTCTGCTTCCACTTGATATGTTCAGGATTCTTCCTCCCTGGTATGTTTTCTGGTAGTCTGGAGACTGGCCACAGCTAAAGCAGAAATAATTGCAGAAGGTGCTGATGCTGCTGGTGGTAATACATGGTGAAGGCAACTTAGAGAGGGGTTTTGGGGGGGGCTTTTTTTTTTTTTTTTTTTTTTTTACTTTTTCATATGAAGTTGTTTTTAAGTATTTACCAGGCTTGGAGTTGGGAAGCAATTTCCTAACAGAGGCTGGTGAGAGTTGTAGTCTCTGCTCCTGGTGATACAAAATAACCTTCCCTGAGGTCATCCAGGAGTTAAACTTTGTTAATGCTCAGGTTTCTATTGGGACAAAGAACATCTTTGCTGGCCTTGATATATCTTCCATGTGTTCCATTGCATGTTCCAGATGCAGCTTGTGCTTTGTGTTCAGTAGTGTTGTTAGTGTGACATTAGCTTGTGGTGTACAGGGGAGAGAGCAGATCTCTGGGCCCTTCTGCAGCGTGCATCTGTGTGTGATGGACTGCAGTGCTGGGGACCAGACTGTCATCTAGCGTCCTCTGCCAGCCCTATGTTCTTAAATGTTCGATCTCACAGAAAGGCAATGACTGAAAATCCTCTTCTACAAAAGTGCAGCAAAGCATGAGCATTTGAAATGTGAAGTGTTAGTGAGAGTTCGTGTTAACCCCTAGGGTGTAAAGCATTTTTATGCTTGGTAGTCTTTTAAAAATGGCAATAAACTGCCTTCTTGATCGGAGGAAGTGGTTGTTAGTGAAGACAGGCTGGAGCAGCTTTCTCCACTGATCGTATCTGTTTCTTCTCAGCAACAAGACAGATGTATCAAGGAAGGGGAGGCAGCTTTTCTTCTTGGTCGGTTTAGAAAATTTGTTGGTAGGGAGAAGACAGTCTTGCTATTATTGTCGTGATGTAGTGAATGTGTGCTGGCACAGACTTTCCAAGATGCTGCTTTTCAAGTGTAAAATCGTGCTGTTTAAAAGCAATTTTATTCTGTCCCCCTTTTTCAAAAGTGCAGTGGCTACGTGCAAGTCCCTCACAGGATAGAGTACTCAAAAATGCTTTTCGCTCCCGAACTATAGCTTATAGCAGTTTGGTTCTGTGCCAGACTGTTTCTAGTAGATAATTAGAGTGAAAATGCTTTTAGTTTTTTTGCCATTCCCAGGCTGGGAGCATGCTGATCTGAGTCCAGCCATCAGGTGGAGTAAATGTGCTTTGTTGTTTTATTGTCTTGGGAACTGTACAGAAAGAGAAATGCAAAGTTGATTCAGTGAGAACTTGTAAAGATTTCTGTGCCTCTGGAAAGGAAGAAATTGGGCCTGGGAAGAGAGGAAGACAAGAGAAGGCTTGTAGGAAAGGGGAGAGAGGGGGTGTATCACTTTTGCTTCCAGCACTTCTCACTCATGCCTACCTGGGGTATGCCCCAGCCCAGGACTTGCTACTTGGGAAAAACTGAGGTGCCACGAGGTGGTGTGCAAGGAGTAGAGCAAGGACCACCAAGCCTGAGGTGAAGAAAAGCTTTAGGGCTGAAACTTGTGGTTATTGCCAAGCTAGAGATCTCTAAGCAGGATTACTGTCAGATAATGTTTAGGTACCTGAGGGGGTCTAACTGTAAGTGAAGTGGTTTGTGTAGATGCAGCAAATTCTCCTCTGATTCCTTCCTCAGTCTGATAAGGGTCTGTACTGCTGTGTCCCCATTTCTGTGGTTGTGCAGCATATGCAGGTGTCAGGGCTCTGGGTGCACTGATAGGTCTTAATTGCTCTGAGCAGCTTCACCTGGGACCTCCACCCACAACCCCTGCTCAATGGGACCAGGAGTCCCACTTCAGCTCAGCTCTGAGTCTTTGCTCCCAAGTGATGCTGTGGGAGTTACTGATCCCCCACCTCAGCCATAGCCACGTCTGTGCCTGCTTATGGACTGCATAGATCCAGGGCCAGATGTGGACTGACTTCCTGGCTTGACCTCAGACCTGCCTTGCCATCATGGACCTACCTGCTGACCTGGGCTCCTGGTCGATCCTGGCCGTGATCTCTGGGCCTGCCCTACTCACCTTCCTCAGGTGCTGTAGGATGGGGCCCTGTCTGGCAAGTCCCCTGCCCTGCCAGCCGTGGGATCTCCCTTGCCTCCCCTCCCTTAAGGAGCAACCAGACCTTGCTGCTCCCTGACACCAGGACCCCAGAGAAGACAGGGGGGTTCAGCTTCTAGCTGAAGACAGCAGTAGGAACAAGGACAGTAAAGCTTGCAACCTTCCCATGTTGGTGTCAAGAAACTTCAGAAGCTAGTGAACAGATCTGCCCATTTCCTCTCTGTTCTTGTTCAGCAGTTTTGTTTCACTGACATATGGCCTTGCTCTTCTTGTTTGCCAAGCATGATGTCAGCTGAGCCCTGAGCTGGCATCAGGTGGCCTCTGTTTGAACTAGTTCAGCTTCTTATCTTGTAAGCAAAAGTTAATGTAGCAGAGTAACTTGGACTTGTAATCAAAGCTGAGCAGTGGTGTAGGAGCTGGCCAGTGGACGTGGCCTTGTAAGCAGTCTGTGTGCGATCTCTGCACCAGGGATTTCCATTCTCTGCATTCCAAAGAATCAGCTTCACCAAAATGCTGACTGAGACGAGAGACAAATGGATGGTGAAACTGAAGAATAGTTATGAACTGCTTCCTCAAAAAAATCAAGAATTCAATGGGCATTTATTCTTCTGAGTAGTTAACTTGACTCAAGTTCATAGGCCAGTTGCTTCATGTTTCAGGTATGCTGTGCAGTAGCTGTACTGCCATTAGTATTGATGACTAGAGTTTCTCTAAGATCAAGAAGGTGTCCTTAAAGCAGCTAGTATCTAGACAGTAGCAGACCTTTGTCTCTGACTTGCATAAGAAGCTGTTTCAATAGAATAGCAGCAATCCTGCACTAAAAACCTGATAGCTCTGTTTATGAAATGGGCACCTTGGATACAAGATAGGAACAACAAATTCAAGAGACATGGTGCTCCTTGATGCCTGGGCATGCCTCTAATCCATGGTCTATGGGAAAGCATTGAAGCCTACCCTGAGGCAGCTGTTGTTCCTGCAGTGTTGATGGTAATCCATTGCTTCATCCCTCCTATATCTTTTTGGTCTTGATTTCAGGCTCCAGAGTTGAGTCGTTTTGACTCTGACCTTTAGTCCTCAGTTCATGAGTTTTTCTTCATCTTTTAGAGAAGTGATGGCTTTCAAAGACAAAATTCCATAGGCTTTGTTTAATATTTGGATTGCTTCAGGTCTCTGTTGGGGTTTGTCCTCCTAAGTCGCATCAAGTTGTATGCTGGTATCCCTTCAGTTAATTGATATCCTCTTTCTAGATCTGTTCTGTCCAAATTTCCATTGAATGCTATCCCTAATTTGTGGGGAGCTCATCTAATAAGTCTGTGCAGCTGTGATCCAGGACTCTGATGATCAAAACCATGTATGTTTTTCTACAACTGTGGAAGATTGTCTCGTGTCTCTCTTACCTTGTTTTCTAATAGCATATAGCAAGAAAGCAATGTACTGTACATCAGAAAGAGCAACTCGCTCGGTGTAGTATGGTTAAAATAAATTGGTCTCCCTTCAAGCAAGGAGAAATAGGTTGTCTTTTTTCCTACTTAATGCAGGTTTTCTAGAGCCAGGTATTAAGTATCCGGTTCCCTAGCACTTTAGCAAGTGGGGCTGGTTTTATCCCCCTTGTCTGGGTGAGACTAGTTGCATAAAAATACAGTGGTGTTTCTGTTACAAAGGTGTAGATATTAATTTGTAGCCCAAGGAAATACCTATTTCTGAAACTTCAAGTTCCACTAAATCTGGCATGTTCCTTGTTCTTGTTGAAAGTGGTTTGTGTTCTACTCACTGGCCACTATCATCTCCAGATATTTTGGGGTCACTGCCTTCGTAAGATGATGGTTTGTGTGGCTGAGAGAGGACACACGTAGGACAGATATCCCCTTTAAGTGTAAGAAGAAAGCAGTACTTGGTCCCTTCTGAAAGCATTTTAAGTCCCAATGGAATGCTCACCTGACAATAGATCCTGTTCTTGTTTCTCTCAGGAGTGAGGGTGGATGTAACTTTTAGAACCACCTTTTCATCACGAGACCATCCCAGCCTACTTCTCCCATTTTTTGCCAACAAATAGCGTAGCATATCATTGCGTCTGTGTTCGTGGGCTACAGTTCATTGCGGGAAAAAAAACTTGTTGGACATAAACTTCTTGGCTCCTAATGAGGCATCTGGGGGAGTGTAAAGAGTTACAAGAGATGGGAAGCCTAGCTGAGCTGGTATTACACTCATCCTCAGTTGTCAGCGTTTGGGACGGGGAGCTTGCAGGGTTGGTGGTGTCTAGCTGGAGCAGTCCCTGCCTCTGCTACTTCCTTCCTGTGTGAGCTCTGAAGTTTCTGTGTTGGTACAGTTTGGGGCCATGAATAGCCAAATTTCAGAATTCATTGCCCCTTTTGGAGGCAAGACCAATAACCCACTCTACAGTCAGGGGGATGCTGAGTGGCTAAAAAAACCTACCCCAAACTTTTTCCCTCTTTCTGATGATTTTACACCCCACCATCCCTAAATAATTTACCTAATTCTCCTGGACCGAGAGCCTGACTGATACGTTTTCTTTCAGTGGGTTATTTCCTTTGGTGCTGTGCACCTCTCGCTCTGTTTCTTAAGTGCCGTTTGTACCTAACTTGCCTTGTGTTAAACTTTCCACAGCAGTTCATCTGCACCTCCAAGGGTGCACTTTGAGAGGTGAAACTTTGAGTGGCAGAAGTCTGCGTTGCCTTCAAACCATTAGGACACTGTATTACTGCAAAGTGTGAAATAGAAAATAGTTACCAAAATAAAGGTGATAATGCTTGCTACTTGCTGTCAGTCATCAACTTGGTAAATCTTCTAGAAGGTAAAAGAGTGGTTGTGATTCATTTCACAATGAAGTTGCAGTGTGGTGTAAAAATAGGAGTGTGCTTTCATGTCAGTATGACTGCCTATAACACTGTTCACTACCTCAAAAGACTGGGCTTATTGCCTGCGAAGGAAATCAAGAGGCTATTTCTTTTTTGGTATTTAATTTGTGTTACACTAGGTACATAAGTAAGGTGTGCTATTCAAAAGGAGTCCTTGTTCTTTTGGGGCTATAAAAACCTCCAGAAGAGGCTCTTGATCTTGCTATGTGTTATCAAGCATATAGCAAGTGTATTAATATCATTGTGAAATGGCTCTTCATAAAACTTGAATTAAATCTGAACCAGTCTTTCTTACTCTTTCCTACCTTTGTGCATTGTGCATTTGGTTAATCAGCTTTAAACAAGAAAGCAGTGTAAGCCCTTGAACCGTGTTACTATTTACAATGTTTATTTTCCATCTGAGTGCTAACATAAGACAGTCCTGTTACTTCAAAATGAAGTGTGGTTTTTTGTGGTGTGATCTTGGAATACCCTCTCTGTTTTAATGCTACTGGTGATAAATGCAAATTTGCCTGGTTAATAAGATGGTGTGACTTACTCTTTTGGTATAGATATCCCTGAAGAAGAGGCCAGATACTGGACCAGAAAATTAGAACAAATAAATTCACTGGGAGATGATGAGGTAAATATCTAAATTGAAAGATTAATGTAGCCCTGAATGCCTTCTAACTTTATTTTATTCTTTGTATGGGATCCCTGTGATTAAGGTAACTACTAAATGTTCATCATTTACAAGTCTTCCATGAACTGGTCACAGAACTGTTTCCTCAAGTTTACTGTTAGTGTTAAGGAGAGGAACAATTTTCTGCATGCTGGAAGTGCTTGAATAGTGAGAACTGTTTTGTTGATGTGCATACACTCAAAAGAAAGGTAACATCATGCTTTACCGCACAAGAGAGTGAAACTGTTTTTGACAAGCTGTGGTAGGCTTTCTTAATTTGTGAAATCAAGTCAAAAAGGACATTTTTGGAGTTAGCTGCTTCTGGGAAGAAGACAAAGCAAGATACTGAGTCTTTCTTGGAACTGAGGATTGTTGGAGTTGGTAGCTTTTTTCCTAATCCAGTTGTTAATGGTTCGGTTTACGAATCTTGTTTTAGAATACCTGCTGGTTTTATAACAACTGCTAGCTATGACTTTGACCTGCTAGCTAAGCCTTTGGCTTCCTGTTTTTTCTAGCGTGTACTTGGCTAAACAGCTATAGACTAAAAGTTACAATTTTTTTTTTTTTTTTTTTGCAAGAGTAGAACTTGCATGATTAAAACTTTTCTTTACAGTTCATACAGTTTGCAAAATAAGATTTGACATATTAATGCCTGTACCAGAAGTTTAGCATTTTTTAAAACAACCCTTGTGTTCATGTCAACATCAAGTAGGAACGTGGTGCTGGCTTAAACTCTTAATAAGTCTCTTTCTGCAGAGAAAATGATCTGTTCTGGGATCATTCATCTATTCTTTTCTACTCCTTGAGTCATTTGGTTTAATGTGCAGGTGGAGAAAAAATAAGGTGCATTTTCCTTTTGACTGTGGATGGACCAATATTTGGGTGGATAAAAACATAACTGCTTGAGGGCAACCTCTCCTTCCTTCCTAGAAGTCTGGGAATATCTTGGAGCTGATGACAAGCTCAGTCTGTGACTTGGCCTGTCAGTCTTACTGCTGTGGTGCCTCCCTTCTCCCTTAGCAGAAGTCTGTGCCAGGTACTTCAGTGAAGCATAGGTGCCCTCTAGTGCTTCACTGAACTGGTACTTGCTGAAAGATGCCCTGAGCTTTGTGATACTCCCCTTTCCCTGGAGTGTCATCCATATGCATGCTAAGTGCATGCTTTTATCAAATACTGTAACAAAATCTCTGTATTTGTGACCTAATGATCTCAAATTTATAATGGATGTTCCCTGCTAGTGAAAAATGAAAAAAATATAAGAACACCTGTGCAGGGCATGACCTAAGGTTCATCTTGTCCCATGTCTGACAGCGGCCCAGAATGGGGATGATATTTTCCGTGCATATTCCCCTGATTTGCAGCGACTTGTAGCTCAGGAACTTCCAGAGCCAGAGGCAGTATCTCTGTGTTTAACAACACTCAGTGGACTTTTCTTCTGTGGATGTCAGCTGCCTTTTGAATGCACCCAGGTCAGTTATGTTGTAGCAAAGGAATTCACCATCTTAATTGTGCATTGCCTGAAGAAATACCTTATTTGCTCTGAGCAGACAAACCCTGTGTTGTGAAACCAGTAGGAGGCAGGTTTCTCTGGAGGAATTGAGTGACTGATCCTCATTCATCCACTCTGTGCCACTCAGCTTTACAGACCTTGCCTTCTTGCATGGCTTTTGGGCTGCAGAGTCCTAGTCTGCATAGTGGTATTTAGTACAGGACAACTTTGTGCTTCTATCTTCTTTTCTGTGCGTTAAGTTCAGCTATCTCTGTTTGAGAAAATGGATGAACAGACTAAAGTTTCACAGCAGTGTTCAAGAAGTGGGTTCTTTTGGAGTCTATACAATGTCATAAACATGCTTTCCGGTCTCTATTCCTACAAACACTTAATGTTCAGTTTTCTTTCTGGGACTGCTGACAGCTGTTGGGCTGGTGTCTTAAAATGAACAAGCTACTGCCATTTTTGGATCTCTGAGTATAATAATTCAGAACCCACTGCTGTCCTGTGCAGCTGAAATTGCTCATCAACAGACTTCCTTTCACCACTTTGTCAACCAGTCAGTGCTGTGAGATCCAGCAGTTCTTGTTTTCATGATCCTGATTAACTCAGTGAGTTGGCAGTTTGCTGACTAACCACCTTTCAGGATTGCTTGCGTGTTTTAAATACCACAGATCGG